TTTGAGATGGAGTTTTGCTCTTGTTACCCAGGCTGGAATGCAATGGCGTGATCTCGGCTCACCACAACCTCCGTCTCCTGGGTTCAAGCAATTCTCCTGCCTCAGCCTCCCAAGTAGCTTGGATTAGAGGCATGGAACCACTTTGCCTGGCTAATTTTGTATTTTTAGTAGAGATGGGATTTCTCTGTGTTGGTCAGGTTGCTCTTGAACTCCTGACCTCAGGTAATCTGCCCACCTCGGCCTCACCCATGTGCTGGGATTACAGGCGTAAGCCACCATACCCAGCTATCTCCACTTTTAATGTGCAAACAGAATTCCAATTTAATTCTTTTAATATTTGAATATACTCAAAATGTAAAATTATTGAAATTTCTATAATAAAAAATACAATTCTCATATTTTCCAGTTAAAGTATAAATAATATATTACCAACTCGAGTTATAGTTACACTGGAAGAACATATCCTTACAAGAAATACTAAAACTTTATATGTGTTTGAACTACAGTGATACTTCATCTTCTAAGAGCTTTGAGATATTTGATCATTGGACAATTTTTCTCTCAGATATATTCAACTGAGAATTTGTTCCTGGATATTTGTACTAAAATTACTACAACCAAACGTTGAAACTTAATGAATAGGAAATTGTTTTGATACATGTGTTACAGGAAAGGGGTCACGCTCCAGACCCCAAGAGAGGGCTCTTGGATCTCACGCAAGAAAGAATCCAGGGTGAGTCCAAGTAAAGTGAAAGCAAGTTTATTAGGAAAGTAAAAATCAAAGAATGGCTGCTCCATAGGCAGAGAAGCCTCAAGGGCTGCTGGTTGCCTATTTTTCTGGTTATTTCTTGATTACATGCTAAACGATGTATGCATATTCATGCTTCTCCTTTTTAGACCATATAGGGTAACTGCTTGATGCTACCATGATATTTATAAACTGTCATGGTGATGGTGGGAGTGTAGCTGTGAGGATGACGTAAGGTCACTCTTGTGGACATCTTGGTTTTGATGAGTTTTACCCGGCTTCTTTAGTGCAAACTGTTTTATCAGCAAGGTCTTTATGACCTGCATCTTGTGCCAATCTTCTGTCTTATCCTGTGACTTAGAATGTCTAACTATCTGGGAATGCAGCCCTTAGGTTCAGCCATATTTTACCCAGCTCCTATTCAAGATGGAGTTGCTCTGGTTCAAATGCCTCTGACATATGCAGCGAAAGGGAGTGAAAAGTATCATTTTTAGATTGATGATGCCACATACATTCAGCAAAATATGAGTGCAACATACCATAAAGATAATAGAAACAAAAATAAATGTCAGTGGTGTTAATGAGTAAAATTATTTTTGTAAATTTGAAATATAAATCTAGACATAGAATTTTTCCTTTTAGGGAATGTGTTATATGAAAGAGAATTTTTGGACAGATTAAACTTAACAGAGTTTAACTGAGCAAAGTACAATTCATGAATCGTGCACCAAGACCACACCACTCTTACAGATGATGGAAGTGAGGAGAGAAACAGTTGGATTGGTTACAGCCTGGCAGTTGTCTTATGCTAACTCTGAACAGTTCATCACCTTGGCTGAAACTTGGTGATTTGTACAAGAATAGGTTACAGGCTGTTTAAACATTCACTTAAGGCCACAGTTCACTATGTATGAAGGAACTTTTAAGCTGAACTTACAAGGAGGTAGCTTTAGGTTAAACTTAATTTAACAATTATTGAATCCATATATGGAAACATATATACAACTGGCTGAACATAAGTGACCTTGTACTTACAGGATAACAAATTATGCCACTTGAAGAAAGCAATGGCTGGTAAGATTGAAGTGTTGACAATAATGGACTGCAGTGTATCTTGAAATAAAGAACTATTCGTTGGGAGAAGTGAAATAAATTATTTCTCAAAGATAAAACAAATAAAAAAATAAAATTTGAGTGCTTCCTTCAGCAGTACATATACTAAAATTGAGATGATACAGAGAAGATTAGTATAACCTCTTTGTAAAGATGACATACAAATTCATGAAGCATTACATATTTTTGGCCAGGATCATCATGATACCAAAACCTGGCAGAGACACAACAAATAAAGGAAACTTCAAGCCAATACCCCTGATGAACATGGATGTGAAAATCTGCAATAAAATACTGGCAAACCAAATCCAGCACTACATCAAAAAGCTTATCCACCATGATCAAGTTGACTTCATTCCCAAGATACAAAACTGGTTCAACATACACAAATCAATAAGCATAATCCATCACATAAACGGAATCGATGACAAAAATCACATTATATTCTGAACAGATGCTGAAAAGGCCTCTGATAAAATTCAACATCCCTTCATAATAAAAACTCACAATAAACTAGGTATTGATGGAAAATATCTCAAAATAATAAGAGCTATTTATGACAAACCCACAGCCACTATCATACTGAAGGGGCAAAAGCTGGAAGAATTCCTTTTGAAAGCTGGCACAAGACAAGGGTGTCCCCTCTCACCACTACTATTCAACATATTATTGGAAGTTCTGGCCAGGGCAATCAGTCAAGTGAAAGAAAGAAAGAAATTTAAATAGGAAGAGAGAAAATCAGATTATCTCTGTTTGCAAAAGACATGATCCTATATTTGTAAAACCCAATAGTCTCAGCCCAAAGATTTTCTAAGCTGATAAGCAACTTCAGCAAAGTCTCAAATACAAAATTAATGTAAAAAAAAATCACAAACATTCCTATACACCAACGATAGACAAGCAGAGAGCCACATAATGAATGAACTCCCATTCACAATTGCTACAAAGAGAATCAAATTACTAGGATTACAGCTAACAAGGGACATGTAGAGCCTTTCAAGGAGAACTACAAACCACTTCTCAAGGGAATATGAGAGGACACACACACATGGAAAAGAATTCCATCCTCATGGATAGGAGGAATCAGTATCATGAGAATGACCATACTGCCCAAAGTAATTTGTAAATTCAATGCTATTCCCATCAAACTACCATTGATATTCTTCATGAAATTAGAAAAAATTACTTTAAAATTCATATGGAACCAAGAAAGACTTTGTATAACCGAACAATGTTAAGCACAAAGAACAAAGATGGATGCATCATGCTACCAGACTTCAAACTATACCACAAGGCTACAGTAACCAAAACAACATGGTACTGGTACAAAAACAGACACATATACCAATGGAACAAAACAGAGAACTCAGAAATAAGACCATAAATCTACAACTACAACCATCTGATCTTCAACAAACATGACAAAAACAAGCAATGAGGAAAGGATTCCCTATTTAATAAACGATGCTAAGAAAACTGGCTAGCCATATGGAGAAAAGTGAAACTACATTCCTTCTTTAGACGTTTTAAAAACATTAACTTAAGGTGAATGACAGACTTAAATGTAAAACCCCAAACCATAAAAAAAAAACCCCTAGAAGAATTGAGGTGATGCCATTCAGGACATAGGCATAGGCAAAGACTTCATGACTAAAACACCAAAAGCAATTATAACAAAAGCTAAAATTGACAAATGGGATTTAATTAAATGGAAGAGCTTCTGCACAGCAAAAGAAACTATCATCAAAGTGAACATATAACCTACAGAATGAGAGAAAATGTTTGTGATCTCACCATCTGACAAACGCCTAATATCCAGTATTTACAAGGAACTTAAACAAATTTACAAGAAAAAAATAAGCAACTCTATCAAAAAGTGGGCAATGGATATGAACAGATCCACTTCAAAAACAGACATATATGTAGCCAACAAACATATAAAGAAAACTCAACAGCACTGATAACTAGAGAAATGCAAATAAAAACCACAATTAGATACCATCTTATGCCATTCAGAATGGCGATTATTAAAAAGTCAAAAAACAAGGGATGCTGGCAGGGCTATGGAGAAATAAGAATGCTTTTACACCGTTGGTTGAAATGTAAATTAGTTCAACCATTGTGGAAGACAGTGTGGCCATTCTTCAAGGATCTAGAACAAGAAATACCATTTGATCCGGCAATCCCATTACTGGGTATACATCCAAAGGAATATACATCATTCTTTTATAAAGATATGTGCATATGTATGTTTATTAAAGCACTATTCACAGTAGCAAAGACATGGAACCAACCCAAATGTGAATCAATGATGGACTGAATAAAGAAAATGTAATACATATATACCATGGAATGCTATGCAGCCATAAAAATGAATGAGTTCATATCCTTTGCAGGGACGTGGATGAAGCCAGAAGCCGTCATCCTCAGCAAACTAACACAGGACCAAAAAAACAAACGCTGCATTTTCTCACTGATAAGTGGGAGCTGAACAATGAGAACACATGGACGTAGGGAGGGGAACAACACACACTGCAGCCTGTCGAGGGTGAAATGGGGGGGGGGTGAGAGGTGGGAGAGTATCAGAATAAATAGCTAATGCATCAGGTGCTTATAACTGGCCGGTTGCAGTGGTTCACACCTGTAATCCCAGCACTTTGGGAGGCAAGGCAAGCAGATCACGAGGTCAGGAGTTTGAGACCAGCCTGCCTAACATAGCTTACATTGTTAGCCATTGGTGCCTCATGCCTGTAATCCCAGAACTTTGAGAGGGTGAAGCAGAAGGACCACTTGAGCCCAGGAGTTCCAGGCCAGCTGGTGCAACACAGTGAGACCCCATTTCTGCAAAATCTAAAACAGCTGGATGGGCATAGTGTGTGCACCTGTGATCCCAGCTATCCCAGTTGAGGTAGGAGGATTACTTGAGCTCAGGCAGTTGAGGCTGCTGTGATCTGTGTTTATGCCACTGGGTGACAGAGTGATACCCTATATCAAAACAAAATAAAAGGAAAAAAGAAAACCATATTCACTGTGAAAACAATGATCCTTGTGAAAGTCCAGTAAAAAAGACTTTTCAGTTCAGAGTGATAGGTGTAGAGACCACTGCAATGGGATTTTGTAGAGGGGAAGAGAGATTGAGTTTAACTAAGCATGGGCAATGTGGATACAGCATGGCTAAGTGGTCATTTATAGCCAAGAAACAGGTTGAAGGTCCGTGGAGGGAAAATTACTAAGAGGAAATATCAGAGGTAAGGGGAATTCTAGCTAAACTGGCCTAGCAGGATTCCAGCTGAAGGCAGGCTAGAGTGATCAGCCATTACCTGGGGGAAGGTGGAGAATGAGAAACCTCATCCAATACCAAGAATGATTAGATATCAAAGGAAGAATTCTTGCTCAACTGATCTAGCAAGTGTCTTTATAAAGCTGAATTTTACAAGGAAATGCACAGATGAGCATAAGAGGATTTTCAAAGGCCTGATTGAAGTTTGCTCAAGCAAAAAAATCTCGATAAACACTAGAGTCCAAACTCCTTGCTGTACTTGTGCTCTGACTGTGGCATGTCACTAGTAGTCTCCTGTTTTGTTCTTCTTCTACCTCCATGAGTCCCTGTTCCCTCCAAAATAACATTGAAATTCAATGGAAAGATACTTATATTCTGGCTCCTCAAGCACACATACAAATTCACGTACACACACAGGCACACACCCCACTGATATGACCATAGTCAACTATATCTTCTTTGCTTATCAGGACACTTCTCCTTTCATCCTTTATTTGGACCAGAGTGGACTCCCTGCCAATTTCCAAAAATGCATGTGTTTCCTCTGTCTCTATTTATTTGAGACTCTTATCCTCAGTGACATCTCTACAACTCAAAATCCTATACATACTTCAGAGCAAAGCCTGAATGAAACCTTTCCAGCAATGCTTACCTCGATTATTTCTTCCAAAATTATACTCTCATGAGGCTTGTTTTTAATAAACCCTTATAATATTCTCCACTCATTACTTTTTGATATACTGACAAATTTGACTGTCTTGCTGATAGATGGTAAACATGGCAAAAGCAGAAATTATTCCATTCATGTTCTCTCTTCTACAGTACAATAATAATTTAAATCTTTAATGAATGCTAAACACTTATTTATATCAAACAATTATGTAAATTCTCTAGAACTCACATGATTTTAATTCAGTACATTACAGGTATCTTTGCGAAATAAATCAATTATAATTATGGAAGCTATATGCATTTCATAGAAATTTCTTATATTTTATCTGAAGATACCACAATCACTTTGGCATGAACAAGAAATTAGATTCACCAAGAAGGCTAAAGAATATACCAAAAATCTACATTGAGTTCTCAATATTTTATAGTAAAAGGATCACAATAGGCTTTTGACTGATCTACCCAGATATATAGATACCTATAAGGTAAATCCTTAAGTAACTCACAGCCCAACTAACTTTTCTAAAACAATGCTGTGTGCCTCCTTCCACCTCCTGAATCAAGTGTCATGACTCTGCTACCTAAATCATACAGCCCCGTGGAAGCACTGGCTTTCAAACCCTTTGTAAGCCAGTCTGTATGTCTCCAAATTTATCACTCACTATTTCTGTAAGTGAATTCTTTACTTTACAAAAATTGATCGAATATTTTCCCCATAAAATATGCCATAGATCCCTGTCTAGCTAAAATAATCTATTAAAAATAAATAAAGATACAATTCCTGTCTCTGCTCCATGACTCATTCCTATCACCTGGAAAGTCCTTGACTTTTCTATCCTCTCATTAAAGTAAAACTCTGCATGGAAATTTCACTTAAATGGAGTAATCCACACTGATGTTTCTCTATCCAGAACCCTTATGGAATTTATTATCTGAATATTAGTTAGTCAAATATCCAATGAGTGGCATATTGCAATTTAATTTTTTCATGCAAATGCCTTTTCTGCTCAAAGAAATTTTAAGAATGATTTTTATAGTTTTTTATCTTCAATATTTTAAAAATGGTTTTAATAGATATGGGTAGAGAAGTATAAGTATATGATTTAAAAGATCTGAGAGAATATTTTCTTATTAAATTGTTTATTATATCCTTTTTTTGGAGGGTAGCTAAAAAGTGATGAGATATGGGCTCTGTATTCCAAGAGTTCATTATCTAATAGTAAGAACAAATAAATA